TTGAGAAGAATTTTAAAGGTACCATGGACTGCCAGAAAAACAAATAAATCTGTTTTGGAAGAAGTACAACCAGAATGCTCTTTAGAAGCCATGATGGCCAGACTTTCCCTTCCATACTTCAGACATATCAGGAGGTACCAGTCACTGGAGAAGGACATTATGCTTGGGCAAGTGGAGGGTCAGTGAAAAAGAGGAAGACCCTCCATGAGACAGGCACAATGACAGCAGCAATGTACTCAAGTGTAGCAGCAATTGTGAGGATGGCACAGGACTGGCAGTGTTTTTTTCTTTTGTATATTGAGTCAGTATGGGTCCAGCTGTTCAAAGGCACTAACAATAACTTCTATTCTTGTCATTAGTGTCTATTACATTAAATCTCTTATTGAAATGATCTCTAATTTCAGGTGGAATGTATTCAAGCTAATATTTGTCTCTCAGGGACTTGTTTTAGTTCTCTACAGCTTCTGCCTGAACTTGCAAAGGAATAATTGATGGTCTGTTCCACAGTCTGAATCTGGCCTTGTTTTGGCTGATGGTATTGAGATTTTCTAGTGTTTATTCCCACATATGTGGTCATTTTGATTTCTGTATATTCCATCTGAGGAAGTCCAGATATAGAGTGGTCTTTTATGTTGTTTAAAAAAGGATTTTGCAATGAATAACTCAGTGGTTTTGCAAACTTATATCATGTGATTTTCATCATCATTTCTTTGACCAAGGCCATATTTTCCAACTACTGACTTTTTCTCTTTGTTTCCAACCTTCACATTCCAGTTACCTGTTATTATCAATGCATATTGATTGCATGCTTGATCAATTTCATACTGAAGATGTTTGTAGAATTCTTCAATTTTCTCATCACTAGCTTTAGTGGTTAGTATGTAAATATGAAAAATATTAATTGGTCTTCCTTGTAGGCATGTGGGTATATCCTACTACAAATAGCAGTCTATTTCAAGAAAGATCTTGAAATGTTCTTTTGATGATTAATGCAACACCATTCCTTTTCAATTTGTCGTTTCTGGCTTAGTAAACTATATGATTGTCAGAATGAGAATTTGCCCAAATCAATCCATTTCAACTCACTAATGCATAGGCTGTTGATGTTTATGTGTTCCTTTTCATTTTTGACAACTTCCAATTTTCCTGGTTTCATATTTCATATGTACCATGTTTGATTATTAATGGATGTTTCCAGCTGTTTCTAGTGATTTTGAGTTGTGCCAGTAAATGAAGGTCCCTAAAGTTTTACTCTATTTGCATCATCATGGTCAACTGTATTTTAAGAAAGCAGATCTTCCCCAGTTAAAATCTGAGTGCTTTCCAGCCTGAGGGGCTCGTCTTTCGGCACTATGTCTGACAGTATACTGATGCTAATCATAATGCTTTCATCTTCTGGCCCTTTTTCTGACAGTGTTCCACTGTTCTTCATAAGGTTTTCAGTGGCTAAACAAAGTAGTCTGTCTCTCCTTCTTGTTAATTTTAGTATGAAAGTTCAGCTGAAACCTATCCACCATGGGTGATCTTGCTAGTATTAAAATATTACTGGCATAGCTTCCAGCATCTCAGCAA